GGCAGCCGGGCACCGAGCGCAGCAGAGCCCCGCGGGCGCGCCCCTTGCCTGGCCGCACCCCTGGCGCCCATGCCGCGCCGCGAAGGAACTCCCACGAGCCGCGCGCCACGCGCGAAGCCAGCATGGCCCTGCCGCCGCGCCGCGAGGAGACAGGCGGCGAGAGCTCAGCAGCCTGGGGCACCGGCGAGCCACCTCTCCATAGAGTCCCCGCAACGTCCGAAAAGCTCGGCCGCCTCCATTGCAGTTTTCAAACCCCAGCACGCTTCGCTTATACAGGTGGCCGGGAGCCGCCAAGGACGGACGCCTTCGCGACGCTTTTGCGACACCGGCGGCGCTGGACTTCCCAGCGCCCCCGGCGGTAGCAGGAGGAGCGTGCGGTTAGGCGCGTTGGGCTTTCGGGGAGCCGCAGGCTGTGGTTGGCGGCTCTTCTGCGCCCACGGTCGGGAGCTGAGGTCCGCGGGGAGGGGAGGACAGGAACTAGCATGGCTGGGTGATGGCGCGACCGATGTGACCGGAGAGCGCAGGAGCCGTCTCGGGCCTCGGCTTGAAACCCTCCGAGGCCCGTGGCCTGCAGAAGGGCCCCCTCCGAGGTGTGTGCAGCGCTCCGGGGGTACTCGTGGCAGGTTTAAATATGAGTGAAGTGTCTGGTACAGAAGTCATTAATACAAGCTCCCTGCCCTTTTCCGTCTTCTGAGCGTTTCATAAGCCAAAAATATGGGTATTAGAAAATGACAATAGTAGCAATTACTAATTGTTTACCAGGAAAGTGTTTACTACAGCTTGGTTCTAGTGCATTTAATCCTCCCAGCAACTCCAAAATAGGTTCCATTATTACCTTTACTTTTATAGATAAGGGAATTTAGGCTTAAAGAGGTTAAGAAACTTGCTTATTAGAGGAATATCCAAAATAATTAAGAATGAGTTCATCATTGATTAATATTATGCATTATTAATATTGCGATTATTATATTAATTACTGATACTATGCATTAATATTGCAGTGTTGCAGAACTGTTTTCTTGAGTTCTGTGTCAAATTGGATTTGAATGGTTCTTGCTGCCTCGGCACTATCCCCCCCGCCCTTGTCTGTGATGACAGACCCACCTTAAAAAGTTGATCTTGAACTCTTGTTTCAGGTAGTTAGGAAAGGAAAAGACCAACTGAATTTGAAAATCATTGTAGATCTGAGTATTTATCAAAAGAAATCTTTAATTTCTTATGCACTTATTGAAATACTGACATTGAGAGAAAAGCTAAACTTTCTGCACTAGGAATGTAAAAAATAATTTTTTAAAAATCATATTGGAATCAAATACCTACAGTTCTCATAGACAGACATTAGATAATCCTCTCAAGTGAGAATGGGCAGTATTTCAGCCTCTCCTGTGCTTTTCACTCACTGAATTGCCTTTATTCATGCTTTCCACTTCTTCCTAATTTAAGACAGTTTCTCACTGTTTTTTGGGATTTTTCTTCTCTCTGCTCCACAAGTGTTCCTGCTGCATCTGCCTGTAATAGTTGGCGCTATGTGGTCTTTTCTCTTATTGTGGTAATCATTTCCCAGTATATACTTGTTTCAAATCATCATGTTAAATGTACACAATGATGTATGTCAATTATAGATCAAATAAAGCTGGAAAAAATTTTAATAAAATATAGTAAACTAGTTTATATATATATTTTTATTTATTTATTTTTAAAGATTTTTGTTTATTTATTGAGAGAGATAGTGATAGAGAGCATGAGAGGGGGAAGCAGACTCCCCGCCGAGCAGGGAGCCCGATGCGGGACTTGATCCAGGGACTCCAGGATCGTGACCTGAGCCGAAGGCAGTCGCCTAAACAACCGAGCCACCCAGGCGCCCTATATTTTTTTTTTTAAAGAAAGCCAACTTTACTATGGACTACTGATAGTACTGCTAAGTATAAAGTAGGACAGTAAGGTGTCTGGCATTTTGGCCTAAAGGACAATGACAGCTTAATACATAGGACTAAAAACTAGGGGTGCTTGGCTGGCTTAGTCAATGGAGCATGCGACTCTTAATTTTGGGATTGTGAGTTTGAGCCCCATATTGCGTGTAGAGATTACTTAAAAATCTTTAAGAAAAAATGAGTAACAGTGCTTCTAGCAATGCATTTCCCTAACATTTTAAGACAGAAGAAGATCCAAGTATTAGTCTCTGATTTCATTTTCTAGAACATGACAGGTGTCAATAAATGAACACGTTAATCTGGGATGAAGGATGGAGAAAAATGCAGAAACCCCGGAAAACAATTCCAGATATAAGATAGTAGGTGCATACAGTAAATAAAAGTGTAACATATTTCCTAACATAGTTTGGAGGAAGGCAGAGGAAACCTAAAAATTCTACAGTTAGTATTTGTTTTATAATAAGTTCATTTTCCCTTTTATAAATATTATGATTGTTAATTTCTATCCAGTAAGATTAATTAAATGGGTGGGCAGCTCACATGTCTGAGGGGATTGGGAATCTCTGTCACTGAACTTTTTCCTCAAGTTGGGAAAAAAAATAATTAGAAAAGTAAGTCTGTAACAAAAATCCAAATAAAAATCCATATGTAGGGCACCTGGGTGGCTCAGTCGGTTAAGTGTCTGCCTTCCACTCGGGTCATGATCTCAGGGTCCTGGGATCAAGACCTGCATAGTCGGCAGGCTCCCTGCTCAGCAGAGTGTCTGCTTCTCCCTCTGCCTTTCTCCCTGCTCCCTGCTCGTACTCTCTCTCTCTCAAATAAATAAAATCCTTTTTAAAAATCTATATGTAAACCCTAAGTTTCATGCTTGAAGTTAATTTCAAATTTTTATCTCTCTACCCTTTTTATTAGAATTATTTTTTTAAAAAGCAAAATATACTAGTCAAGTATCTTATCCCAACTTCCCTAGTCAATCATGTAAGTGCTAACATTAAGATAAGAAAAGAATATGAAAAGAAAAAGGATTGTAGGGCGCCTGGGTGGCTCAGTTGTTAAGCGTCTGCCTTCGGCTCAGGTCATGATCCCAGGGTCCTGGGATCGGGTCCCACATCGGGCTCCCTGCTCGGCAAGAAGCTTGCTTCTCCCTCTCCCATTCCCCCTGCTTGTGTTCCTGCTCTTGCTATCTCTCTCTCTGTCAAATAAATAAATAAAATCTTTAAAAAAAAAAAAAGAAAAGGATTGTAAATAATTAACTTTGGATAATTAGCCAGTTGACAGTGTACTTTAGTTCTTTGAAAACATAAATGCTATTAACAGCCACTAATATCTATTGTGCAATCACAGCTATACTGTATTTGGCTCCTTATCCTTTAATTGATCCTTTGCTGAGGAAGTTGTAAAAATAAAAATCCTGCCATTAGAGAGTAGTAGTATCTTGCCACTTTGATGTTTTCCTTGGTAAGCTGCAAAGCACTGAAGGTCTGACTGTGCTAAATACATCTTAGGCTTTTGAAAATTCTGTAACCCAATCATTCTTTCTCACTTGTCACTTCTATTTGAAGCGTAAGTTTTTTGGAAAAAAAAAACTCTATCCCAAATCTGTTAATATTTTCTGTCTATTGATAAATTGATAAATTGACAAACTAGAAATATATTTGCCCTCCCCTTATATCAGATATACAATGAGGCATATGTTTGTTATTTATAATAAGTTTTTTAGTCTGGGACATACTAAACTTGAGCCACTTTCTGTTCCTCGGGGACCAGAAGAAAATAATGATAATGCAAAGAAGTATACTGCTTTGCAAATGGATCTTATATAAATAATAATGGTTGGAAGTTAAAGCAAACCGGTAAATTGAAATTGTTTCTCTAGGAATCAAGTTAAATCTTGTAGGAGTGAACCCTAATTATTGACACTAAAGCCAGTATCTAGTAACTAGTAACTCAAATAAGGCGCAGGTTTAAATCATTGTAATAAACACACCAACAGCCTTAAATAGGAAGGAATAAAATGATTGGATTTAGATTCAAAACACAAGGGAGGGAATTAGTTGTAGGGCCAAGCTCCTCAGGACTCGCAGAGATTAGCTCCACCTAAACTCTGTAACTCTTAACTCTAACAAAATAACTCTTTAATTTACTGAGATTAAATTACTAAGAGATCTAAACTATTTTTTTTTGTCAACTTCTAGTGCTAACTTTTCATAATTCCTTCCCACAAAAGTACTGCTGGTACTAGAACTATCAAGTCTCTACCTAAGAGTTTTAGGCAGTCCATTCTTGTAGGAACCTTTAAAGGAAATAAAAATGCTCACAGAGGCAGGCATTACCTACAATCGAGGAAGTCAAAAGGTTGGTTTCAATATATTTACCCTCTTCCCTTTGTAATATTTTAAAAGTAACAAAGGGATTTTTTTAACATTATTTAGTGTATGACTTGCTTTATTTTCCATTCTATTCCTCCTTCCTGTCAAAAATTTAAGAATCTTGTTTTCCTTTTTGTGGCTTATGGTGCCCTGTTTTAATGTTATTATCTATCCTTTCAGGACAAGTGACTGAATTTTGGAAGGTGAGAAATCACCTTCATTCCCCACCAGAAAAAAATTAAACCAATGCTGTGGACTCCCGCAGTGATTTACTTCTGAGAGAAACCTTCAAATATGAGCACAAGGTGGGCGCCTGGGTGGCTCAGTTGGTTAAGCGACTGCCTTTGGCTCAGGTCATGATCCTGGAGTCCCGGGATCAAGTCCCGCATCAGGCTCCCTGCTCGGCAGGGAGTCTGCTTCTCCCTCTCCCACTCCCTGTTTGTGTTCCCTCTCTCGCTGTGTCTTTCTCTGTCAAATAAATAAATAAAATCTTATAAAAAAAAAAATATATGAGCACAAGGTAATTTTTTTTCCTCCACGGAACAGTTGTTAGCTGTTCATATTTTTATAAACCATGTCTCCCTACAGCTCAGCATTAATTTTTTTCCAGTTGAATCAGGTTATTTAATAACCTTTTTTTTTTTTTTAAGATTTTATTTATTTATTTGACAGAGAGACACAGTGAGAGAGGGAACACAAGCAGGGGGAGTGGGAGAGAGAGAAGCAGGCTTCCCGCCAAGCAGGGAGCCCGATGCGGGGCTCGATCCCAGGACCCCGGGATCATGACCTGAGCCGAAGGCAGACGCTTAACAACTGAGCAACCCAGGTGCCCCTAACCTTATTTCTGGTGCACATGCTGATACATAGGGTAAGACGGTACAGGGCTGGGCAGCTCAATACTGATCGCATTAAAAACAGTTGTGTTTCTGGCAAAATTGGAGTTAGAATAGGTCCCTTCTGACATTATGAGCAAAGTACAGGGCTGGATCCCTTCTGAAATATTTTTCACTGTTTTCTCATTAAAACTGAGATTTTACCCAGTAAAACTAGGTGTTACCAAAGTAAGGTCAACTTGTGTAGACGTCAGCCAGAGTTTGGGATGGATTTTCTGGTACTAAAGCCACCCTCTGTCTTCTGTTCTTATCAATTCCAAGCCCATTTCCCAGGAGGCAAATTAGCCTAAAAGTATTCTTTTTTTCCACAAACACTTAGAAAATTGTTGTGTACCAGTCATGTCCTAGATTCTAGGCAATCTGCACATGTCTCTATTCTCAGAGAACTTTTTTTTTTTAAAGATTTTATTTATTTGACAGAGAGAGACACAGCAGTAGAGGGAACACAAGCAGGGGAGTGGGAGAGGGAGAAGCAGGCTCCCCACTGAACAGAGAGCCCGATGTGGGGCTTGATCCCAGGACCCTGAGATCATGACCTGAGCCGAAGGCAGACGCTTAACGACTGAGCCACCCAGGTGCCCTGTTTTCAGAGAACTTACATGATTGCTCACTATCTGGACTCCAGCCCCTAAAAGATAAAAAAATGTCTTCCAAGGAATGTTTTCCAGACCTCCTGTAGAATCTGGTGAAAGCTATAAAACATATGCAACACAAATTTTGTGTAAAATTTAAAGGAATCCTGTCGCCAAGAGACCCACTCACCAACCCCAAAGAAAGAACCACTAGGCAGTGCTCACTCAACCCTGTGTTCGGAGTTCAGGTGGTCTTATGAGCCCTTTGCCATGTTCCCGAGAGTCAGGTCTTGTGCTTGTTCTCTACAGCCCCTAATCTCATTTATTAGGTGGAGAAAACACAAGGATATCACCTCAACTTTTCTTTAGGGGTATTAACTTAGCAACCCAGAAATTCTGGTGCCTCCCTTTTTATTCTTGGCCTTGGTGAAGGTATGTGACCTTTCTCTGAGAACGGCCAGAGAGGCATCTGGTCCCTTACCAAAAACCTCTAGTCTAGCTGCTGTTTAGGTAACCTCTGATGGTACAGAACTACAGCCAAAGTGGGGGGGGGGCGGGGAGAAGGGGCATCTTATGGTCTCATAGGGGAGGTGCCAATAACAAAATGTTAAAAACTTCCACAACTGAAATTTTAGCTGAGAGGTATTTTTTCACTGAGCGATTCTCCAAAATTCAGAGAGCAGGAGACCACAGAACGACATGACTTACCTTTTTTTTTTCCCCAAGCTGGTTTTCAGCATCATGACTACATATCAGCTCCTACTGTTGGAACACCATGTGTAAGATGTTGTATTAGTTTCCTGTTGCTCTTGCAACACATTGCCGCAAACTGAGTGCCTTCACACAAATTTATGACCTTACAGCTCTGTGGGTCAGAGTCTGATGCGGGTCTCCCTGGCCTTTAAACGTCAACGCACTGGCAGAGCTGTTGTTTTCTTGCTTTTCCAGATTCTGGAGCCCACCCACATTCCTTGTCTGATGCCTCCCTCCTCCATCGGAAAAGCCAACGGTGTTGCGTCTGTTGTGCCTTTTTCCTGCAGTCACATCTTCCTCTCACTGACGCTGTCCTTCTGCCTCCCTCTGTCACTTTTAAAGTTCTTCCTGATTATATCAGGCCTGCCTCCCAATTCTAGGGTCAGCTGACTAGCAACCTTCATTTTCCTTTGCCATGTAACCTAACATAGTCACAGGTTCTGGGCACTAGAACCTGGGAATGAAGGAAGCTGTACATACACATGGTAACTAATTCCACCGTGGAGAAAAGCTGATGATGGAAATCAGTAGGTACACTCTACCTTTCCATCCCCAGACCCACTCCCCAGAGCAAACCTAATACAGCTTGTCTGTTTTTAGTTCTTCTGATGGCTACCTCCATAACTTTAAATAAAGCCGTATGCAGTTTTTGTGAATTAATATTGGCTCATGACCGTAAGTATTGTATATGATCTGGGTGGAATGCTTTGGATAAGGATGTATCCGTGAGGGCTTAGTTGCAGGAAACACAAACCACTGTAGCCACAGTAAAAAGAAGGATTGCAAAATGGAATTGGGTGCTTGTAATATTGTTGGAAGGGCTGGAGGAGTGGGTGCTCCATGATGGGTCTCCAGAACTGACTCCCAGGAAAAGGTTGCAGGTCTGGCTTGTTGCAGGAGCTGCTACCCCCACAACAGTGAGAAAGGTGGAGAATGGGGTTTGCTGCCATCACACCACAGCTGCTTCTCAGTGACTGCTGGAAGCTGGCTGCAGAGAAATTAAATGTCTCAACTACACATGCCACCAGAAAACAAGCAGGAGGAAGATGGCTCTCTCTTCACTTCCCCCTTCCAAATCGCACACAGGACATCTAGTCGGTGCAATCCAACTCCCACTCAGAACGCTGGCTGCAAAAGGATTTTGGGAAATGTCTCTTTGCTTCCTAGTCTCTGCATGATAGGAAGGCACACTAAGAGGTAGGAATGAAGGTTGGGTATCAACTCACCCTATTCACGACCTTCACCTCTTTGGCTAGGCAATATGCATATACAAAATTCTACCCATTTGTAACCTTCTGTATAACAATAGCAACTACAACATGTTAATGCAAGAACCATATTTCCCTCCTTTATAAAATGAGTTATACAGGCCCATCACTGACTGTGTGGTACGTATTCCTCTTCTATTTCAGCTACATTCTCACCTTGATAACCTCTATCCTAAGACTAAATTATCAAGTTAATTATCACCAATCCACTTAAAACACTAGAGGAAAGTAAGAGGGAGGGAAGGCAAATTGGTTAATGTACAGTGCAGACCCCTCCCCAGCTGGTCACGAGGGTCATGAGGTTGTCGTTAATGTTTAGAACTATCTTCCTCCATTCCCATTCCTTACTCCCTTTTTGCTCAGTCAGCATCTCAGCTGCTCTGGATTCTTTACCTGGTAGCGACTCAAAGCTTTGTTCCCGAGGAGTCTGAGCCTTTGGAGATCCTGCTTGTAGCCTTCCATCACCCCTTACTGGTGGATGTGAATATAGTAGGAGCTGCCCCAGAAGATTCTCTGAGATTCAGAAATGTCCTCCATGCCCCCATTTATAGGAGTGACTCAGTTTCCCCCTCATTCTCAGGTACAAACCATGAATCCTCTTTTTTTTTTCTACATCATAGGCGTAAGGTGCCAGTCTCGACTTCCAGCTCAATGGAGCCATTGCTGTGTCCTCTGACAGACGTTATTGCCCCTTTAGATAGTAAGACCTCTAGCGGGTAAAGCCCAATTTTATGGGGATGCAAAACAAAAACTTTATGGTCATTAGAAGTAACAGTGAAACTGTTCTAAAATTTGTACCTTGTTTCCTAGGCCCGTGTATTCTGGCTGTGGGAGAAACAGAACCAAGAAGTGGTCACTAGCTTGGAGAAGTTCACGTAGAACGGCACCCCAGACTTGCAAGGTATCGTCACCTAGCTGGCACCATCACTGAAACTTCACTGTCCTTTCCAATGTCCCCTAAGGCCAGATGCTTTGGGGTAATGGAGTACATGGTAAAGACAGTAGCATATGAACTTCAACCCATTGCCTTACTTCTTCAGGCATTAAAGGACTTTGTCAGGAGGAATATTATGTGGGATAGCATGATGGTGAATTCACATACGGCATTGCTAAAAGAAGCCAGGCAGGAGGGGCAGACATCTGAAATAAGCTCCCTTCCCACCCTCAGTGAAAACAAACTGCTGCCCCCTGGAGGCCCAGTGATCAGCCACCAAGTGGCACGCGTTCCCTTGAAGCATGGTACTGTATTATTTCAGGGTAGGTCGCTCTGCTGGCAAATCAGATACTCAGCAATGGTGATAGTCTATGTCACCCTTGGTGAGGGGAGGTTTAGGCTTGGTGAGCACAAGCCTGGCTGCCAAACTTGGCCTCATGGAAACTGTGTTCATGAATTCATTGAGCAAGGACTGGGGTGGCTAGAGAAAGAGACTAGCTGGCATTCATGGAATAGGTGACATCCATTTAATTGTGAAGCTCCTTTAGTGAGAGTATCTTTGGACACAGATATTCTCATACTCAGAGCACATTCTGAGACACTCATTCACATGCCTCTTCCCCAGAATGACTTTCATTCAGCAAATATTTTACTACATGCCTCTCACGTGCCAGGTACTGCTATAGGAACAGGGGACTTAACAGTGAGGATGAGAGTAAAAAATTCCTATCCCTATGGAGGTTACATTCTAGCTGGACTAAGGAAACAGGCATAAAAAAGATGAATAAACCACATAGTATATTAGACTGTATTGACTGCTACAGAGAAACAAAAAAAGGAAGGAAGATAGGGTTGGGGGGAGTGCAGTTTTAAGGTGTCTAGGAAAGATGGCACTAAGAAGGTGACAGTTGAGTAATGACCCAAAGGAGTTGGGAGGAGGAGCCATGTGACTCTCTGGTGGAAAAGCATATCGGATGGCAGAAACAGCATGTGCAAAGGCCCTCAGATAGGAAATATGCCTGGAATGTTCTAGAACCAGCAGAGACCAGCATGGCTGAAGCAGACTGAGTGAGGAACATTGAGAGCACGGGAATTGAGAGTGTGAACATGGGGCAAGACGTGAAAGGCATTGTTCTGTTCAGTAGCTGCTCCCCATAGCTCCACCGCCCCCCATCCACCCTGCTCTAATCTACAGTGGTATTCTGAGTTTCCTGGGTTTAGTGTTAGCTTGCAGATAATATATGACATTTATTTTAGGTGTATCTTGCATACTACAGTTTGTGAACCCTTCTGAAAATCTTTTTGTTTTAATAGGTGAGTTGAGTCCATTTGCATTTATTAATGTGACATATTTAGGTTGTCATGAATGTTAGGCTCTTATTTTAAAAACTTTTCATGATGTAATGTTTTCTGGCTCTGTTGTTTCTGTTCTAAAACTTGTACTGGGATTTGTTTTAATCAGGTATGGTAAGCTGACAGACACGAGACACCTACTTTTGGAAAGCATTAATTACATTTACTAAGAGAAGGGGACATACCATGCCACAAAGGGCCACATGGGGAAGCACCCAGGTTGGTCAGGAGGCAAGAGTGAGGGGAACCCTAGGCCTTTATTGCTATAGTTGTGGGAAGTTTTTAGGTGGGGATGTCCCCTATTGGAGAGGAAGTGAAACACAAATGCTGGGGATTGTGGTTGGAGGCTTTGTTAGTTGCAAAAGCTAGGATCACAGAGGAGATGTAAACAATTTTGGCTGCTAGTTCGGCCTTGTGATTAATGGAGACCAAATGGACAACACAATATGGAAGAAAACCAGAAGAGATTCCTCTGATAATTATCTTTTTCCCTATAACTTTATATAAGTTATAACGTCTGACTTTTAAACAGTATTTATTATTTTCTTCTTTGAACACAATATATTTATACTATATGAATATATATACTATCCTACTAGCATGTATATAATATATAGCATATATATAGTATACTATATTCATAGTATAAATATAAATACAATGTATGAACATACTATTTATGTAGTACATATCCTTGTTCTCTCATCTGCCACTTTATTTTGTTTGATGTTATCTGAGTTTTTTGTGAAATATGATTTTAATTCTATTAATAGATTTATCAGCTTTATGTACCTTTTATGGCTCCACCCCAGCCTTTAAAGATGAAGAGATCATATTTACACTATTTACCTTCTCCCTCCTTCCTCTTTTTCAAAGTCAGGACTTAATATTTACATTCTATTCTATGGCAATTATCCTCACACTTATCTTAGTTTTTATCTTACAGTTAAACATTCAATGTACATTGCCAGTTTTTCCTCCTGTTCATCTAGTTTGCTGTAAGCGGTCTTTTAGTAGATTCTACAAGAATGGCTCACTTTCTGAGTTCTTGTATGTTAGGAAGTGTTTGTTGCCTTTATACACAAATGGTATTTGTCTGGCAGTCCAGTACCATTTGAACACTCTCATAACAAATGAGAAGGTTTGGCTTTATTGGTCTTGCCTCACTAAAGCAAAACCCAAAAACTTCCCTAGCTTTCTATGGAAGGGCATATAACCTAGCTTTCTTCAATCAGATGTTTCTGAGATTTCTGTTTCAGATGCAGCAACTTAAGGAGACCCCATGAAGAACTCTTTGTTGTTCTTTTGGTGTGGGTGGTGACATTGTTTCCGCCTTTCCCCAGGGGCAGTCATTTCCCAGTGTCCTTGGTACAGAAGTGACACAATGGGCCATGGAGGCCCAGCACTTTCCTCTAGTGCCTTGTGCGGCAGTACGGTGATAATGGCTTCCTCTTCAGATCAATTCTTTTTTTTTTTTAAAGATTTTATTTATTTATTTGACAGAGAGACACAGTGAGAGAGGGAACACAAGCAGGGGG